CGGCAGGTGCAAGTGGCGGGCCGTAAGAGGCGGCGGGCCGATGGGTGCAGCGGCGGGCCGGTAGGTGCAGCGGCGGGCCGGCAGGAGCAGCGGCGGGCCGGCAGGGTGCAGCGGCGGGCCGGCAGGAGCAGCGACGGGCCGGCAGGGTGCAGCGGCGGGCCGTAGAGTGTAGCGGCGGGGCCGTCGGCAGCAGAGGCGGGGCCGCGTCAGAGGAGGCGGCGTGGCCGCGTCAGGGGAGGCGGCGGGGCCGCGTCAATGGAGGCGGCGGGGCCGCGTCAGGGGAGGCGGCGGAGTCGCGTCAGGGGAGGCGGCGGGGCCTCGTCAGGGGAGGCGGCGGGGCCGCGTCAGGGGAGGCGGCGGGGCCGCGTCAAGGGAGGCGGCGGGGCCGCGTCAAGGGAGGCGGCAGGGCCGCGTCAGGGGAGGCGGCGGGGCCGCGTCAGGGGAGGCGGCGAGGCCGCGTCAAGGGAGGCGGCGGGGCCGCGTCAAGGGAGGCGGCGGGGCCGCGTTAAAAGAGGCGGCGGGGCCACGTCAAGGGAGGCGGCTGGGCCGCGTCAGGGGAGGCGGCAAAGCCGCGTCAGAGGAGGTGGCGGGGCCGCGAGTGAAAAGGCGACCCGAGGGGTCGCTAAAAAAAAAAGGGCGCGCCTCGGGGCGCGCGTCGGTGGGCCCAGACAACGGTCCTAAGGTAGGACCCGCTCTATACCATGTGAAAATAGGAAAACAGGAATGAATGAACTATGAATGAAAGCAGTACAAATATGAAACCCTAACTGGGTTGTACCCCCTATGGGATACCCCACTACAGCCTACACAGCAGTATAAGCTATAGATATGTTCTGACAAGAGGCGCTTAAGACTTATTATTCTCAACAGTAATGACAGTATTTGGACAGCATGATGTTTAATGTCGTATGGATGGTTGAATATCAGTTCTCGGTTTGAGCTTACTACTTGATTGCTAAAAACAATTTGAGGTGACCACGTATGAGCTTGTCGGATCTTCTTGTACCGCGGAGAACCATTCCATAGCTCAGGTGGCCTCGCTGGAACCCAACTGATGAAACACGCTGCGGCAACCAAAACAACTGAGAGATTTGCTCCAAACCCTTGTTTGGGGATTCGTTGTTGCACACGTGGCTACCATTTGCTCGAGTGGTTCTCAAATTCAGTGATAATTGCTCGAGTGGCCTCGCCAGGGGATTCTCAAAGTGTTTTTTAAATAATGAACATTACCCTTCAGGGGTATCTACCCTTGAAACTTCTGTATTGGTTTTTGCGCGATCTTTTCTATCCGAAATTTATGTTCATGACCCTATATGACCGCGCCTGATTGGACGCTCATATAATCGACCAATCCTGCGCGGCCATTAATGGTCGCGCGCATCATATTTTAATGCCTGATCATATATTTCCGCAGTTATAAACTGCAATGCCCTTAATGACCGCGCATGATTGGTCAATTATATGCACGGTGCCTTTTTTTGAATGGCGCGTCCAATCAGGCGCGGTCATATAGGGTCACGAACATAAATTTTGGATACTGAAGATCGCGCAGTAACCAGTACAGAAGTTTCAGGGATAGAAACCCGTGTAGGGTAATGTGACGGTTAAAAAAAGCCAGTGAGAATCCACTGGCAAGGCCACTCGAGCAATTATCACTGAATTTGAGAACCACGCGAGCAAATGGTAGCCACGTGGGCAACGCTGAATCTCCAAACAAGGGTTTGGAGCAATTCTCTCAAAACAACTCAATCCAAGCAGCCAGATTCGAGAGAATTTCTCCAGACCCGGAAACGGTGATTTGCCGTTGCACACGTGGCCTCGAATCGCTACCGTGGTCGGACAATTCGATGATAATTGCTCGAGTGGTCTTGCCAGAGGTTTCCTCTGGCTTTTTTTTTATCCGGCACATTACCCAAAACCGGTTTTTAGCCCTGCTTTTCTTACGCCGAAACAAAACCTCTGGCCAATTAGAGTCAAATTGAAACGCGCTCTGTAATTGGTCGCGCGTGTGGACAGTCGTGCAACTGAGTATATGATCGGGGATTCATATCTCTATGCGCGGATTGGTCAAGAATTGGACCGAAAATGAGCGAGACTGTTCGCCCAAGATGATCGTGTTGATTATTGTTGTGTATTCGAACGGTGACGTGGCCGCCCTCGCGCACGTCACCCAGCCGAAAATTTCGGGCAGAAAATCACACGCCACGTTTTTGCGGGAAGAGACACGAACGACGTAAGAAAAGCAGGGCTGAAAACCGGTTTTGGGTAATGTGCCGGATTAAAAAAAAAGCCAGAGGAAACCTCTGGCAAGACCACTCGAGCAATTATCATCGAATTGTCGGACCACGGTAGCAATTCGAGGCCACGTGTGCAACGGCAAATCACCGTTTCCGGGTCTGGAGAAATTCTCTCAGCCAGATTCACCACACCAGAATCGTGCAGGACAGATGCTATCGTGACGATCATCCAGCAAATACCTCACTATTGGAATGATGCGTATAGCAGACACTGCTACGTGACCAGGGTTTGTGAGACGCCACAGGGTTTTCAGGAAAGAATTTCTGCTGTCGCCCGGCAGCTGTGTGACGGAGACGCCATTGCGAGTCCATGTCTCCCTCTAAAAAACGAAGTAGACCGGCAGATTTGTGTCTCGATCAGGATGAGGAGGTCTGCATTGTCGACCCGGACCACAACATCCCTCATTCGCATGAACTGGAAACACCAGTTAAAGAATCTTGCGTCCGAGTTTTTTGGGACATTGAGAATTTAGGCATTCCAAGCAAATGCGAGACTGGATTCTTTGCTCGTCAACTAAAAAAAATAGGCGATTCGTACGGAGAAATTATTCAGTTTACGGCTTATGGGAAACAGGGAAGAATCGGCTCACGTGCACGCGAACTGCCAGCATGCGGTGTGAATTTCGTCAACGTTTCGCCAGGAAAGGAAATGGCAGACAAGGCCATAATCCTGGACATTACGGTATGTGTTTCGTTTTTGACACGAAAGGTCGACTCAGCAAAAAGCAAGCTAACGAGCAAGGGATTTCAACGACAGAACTGTTAAGCTGCAGGTATGATCTCTCATGCCTCTCTTGCAATGGGGTTGTACTAATGATTCGTTTAAACTCAGGTTGACTCGTTCATGCGTGGTGCTTATCACTGGTGACTCTGGCTTCGCTCCTCTTATATCCAGACTCCTTTCCCGGGGTGTCAAAACTGTCATAATTACCAGACTACCGGGATCATTGTCTCGCACATTGAAGCCGCAGCCTGTATCAACTTCCTTGCTAGAATCAGGAGCTGACATTCATGATTGGGATCAAGTGGTGCCATCTGAGTCTGCAAACTTCTCGTCAACATCAGGCCCCCCTTCGGCAGCCATGGTTGAGTCGCAACCGGTCGAGGCGAACGAAACATCACCTACCGACGCGTTGCATGAATGTAACACAGCAAGTCATTGTGTTGCAGAGCTTTCGTGGGCTGCTGTCAAGGAGCGTGCTCAGCAGGGGTTTACAAATGAGAGCTTCACTTTAAGTCTCCTGAAGTGCCAGGTGATGACTGTGCTTGCGGCTCATGGTCCTCTCTGCATTGAGAAATTTCTTCAGGCCTTCGCCACTCTAATGGGCAAGCCGTTTCAGCCGAAGGATTATGGGTTGAGACGCGTGAAAAAACTTCAAAATGTCCTTCCTGGTGTGGTGCAGCTGAATACGGCATGGTCACTGATTGAGAACCCTAAGCTGATTCCAGGAAACGGCGAACACAAGCTTTCGCAACAGAGGAGCTTGTGCCTCGTTTCTTCACCAAAAAACTTGAGAACCCTTGGGCTCATTCAGTCAAGATTGAGGCTGCTTGTGCACAAAGTGCTGGCAGTAATCGTGGTTGAAAATGGCGAGCCCTGGGTGCCTTTACAGGTGCTTCAAACAAGAGTGGAACAGAGACTTGGCCGGTCTCTTGATTCTGTTCTGACCAAGCATGGATATGGGGTTGAAGGGGAGATGCCTTTGGACTGGAGGTTTGTGGCAATGCTTCAGGATTTGTCTGATGTTGTTCATGTGCAATCGAACGAGACAGGGCATTTGCACGTCCGGACTACTGGATGGACAGGGGAAGCCCAGCTGGTCAAAGCTTGGGTGCTTCAAAATCCAATGTGGGACGGGTCTGTGTATGCAGAGTGTTAGCAACAGACCCTGTACCTCTAAACAGAAAAACATTGACTCCAGCCTTTCTGTTTTTGTGCATGTACGTAGTCACGTTTCATCTGAATGCAGAACATTTTGGGGCACTGTGCTGTAAGATTCCGCCACAATTGTTCTGGTCAAACTGCTGGTAACACAACCATGATGGAGGTTCTTAACCATGATACGGTACAAGAACCTCGCACTTTCTGCTGCCTATTCTCCATTTTAGAGGCCATCCATACCACCGACTTGCTCTGAGAATTATTTAAGGTATAATTACATTTGGAAAGTTGGCTATTTGAATCTAATGTGGAAACATGCATACACACTGAATGTTTACATAGAATGGTACCGGAACCTAATCTCTAAGCATGGTTGTATCTACCGTACTAGATTTTATTACTCCCCTGCGTATAGAGTAATACAAGGTGAGAACATATCGGAAGAAAGCACTTGTGAGTCACTGGTGAGTAATTGGGAGTCCTGCCCTGACTGGTGAAGTGAGCGTCAGCTGAAGGGTGCTACAGTGCACGATGTCAGGAATCCCCAAGGCACATACCATATGGGTGAGCTTCTCAAGCCTTCTCATCACTGCTCTGTCAGGGACAACGACTGTTCTGGTTAGTGACCTCGAGGGCAGTTTCTCGAGCGTAGTTCTGTCGAAGTCACTGCAAACGATCCCCGTTCGTATTTTTAGGAATCCTTCAAGCGCGTCGGAAGAGCCGAGTCGCTGATCCTTTTGATTCCTCCATCTCGTGTTCTGCCGGAAGAGTTAATTTCTCCTAGTCTTGAATATTTTTCATTAGGTTTCGACAGCACAACCATGTACGGTTTTGAGGCTCTCACGTTCAACATTAACGATGGTTACCTGGAGGCGATCGTGCGAGGGTACCGGTCAGGGCTGCTGACAGCCGCTGATTACAACAACCTGTGCCAGTGCGAGACGCTAGACGACATTAAGCTCCACCTCACGGGGACGGACTATGGAGGCTTTTTACAAAACGGTTAGCACGCTTGCCTTTCTTATTTCTTGCAGATCACACCGCTGATTATTTCAAATGGGAAGAGGCTGATCCATATTTTGTTGCTCGGACCCCGCTGATCAAAACGCCGCAAATAACTAGTTGTTCTTTTCTCACTGACAGATGTTGATCTTGAATAGTGTCGAGTCAATGTCTCTGCTATCGGCTGTTTCCTTTTCCCAGAGCCGTCTCCGCTGCATACGACGACTATCGTCGACAAGTGCACGCAGAAGCTGGTGGACGAATTCGACCACATGCGCTGCCAGGCCACCGAGCCTCTCTCCACCTTCCTCGACTACATCACGTGAGGCTGCCTCGGTGCTTTCTTCCAAACATTTTTCTTCTCTGTACGGCGTTCTTACCCTAGACCCACAGCAATCTGTCTTTCTGGCTAACGTAACGGCTTTTAAATGCTTTGGATTACGGGACGTCATTCAGCAACCTGGTTTACCGTACACATTACTGAGATGTTTATTCTGCTCGGCCAGCTGTTAAAGGCGAAGATCCGATGCTCCTCGGCTTTGGCCGATGCACAACTGCTGAGTGTTCGGCAAGCGTGCACCCCGCGGATCAGATAACAACCGTGTTCTAAAGTACCCGTTATAATGATTATGTCTATCCCGTATGCCTCGCCGTTTCCCGTGCTACGCTGAGCAGTTACGGCCACATGATCGACAACGTGGTGCTCATTGTGAGCGGTGCGCTACACGAGAGGGACGTGCACGAGCTGCTGGAGAAATGCCACCCGCTCGGCATGTTTGACAGGTAACCAGAGAGCTGAGGGTTACCAGGGATTGGAAGGTAACGTGGGGTTGGAAGGTAACCTGGGATTGGAAGGTAACCTGGGGTTGGAAGGTAACCTGGGATTGGAAGGTAACCTGGGATTGGAGGGTAACCGAGGATGTGAGGGTAGCCAACAGTCAGAGGTTAACCAGAGATCAAAGGTTAACAAGGGATCGGAAGGTAGCCGGGGATTTGAGGGTAACCAGGAGGCTCAACAAGATTGGAGAATGACCAAAGATTGAAGGGTATTCACGGATTGGACCAGCCCTGTATGTCAAGTTTCGAGATGCTACTTCCGTTTTTTTCTGAATGGATCTTTTACTGATGCCTAACAAAAGCGCTCTTCGCTCTTTCCGTTTGCAGCATCGCTACCCTAGCTGTTGCTCAGAACATGAGGGAGCTGTACCGCCTGGTGCTGGTGGACACACCCCTTGCTCCCTACTTCTCTGAATGCATCACCTCTGAGGTGGGTATCGCATGGAAGGAATTTGCAGTCCAAGCCAAGCGTTCCTGAGGACGGTATCAGCAGCTAGCAAACTGCTGTAGGCTGCGAGCCTGCATGTTTGTCTCTCTTGAACGCGCTTCTGACTCTCCCACGGCACATCATACCTCTGTGTTCTTCGTCCTGTGCAATTATCTTTATCCGTCTACTTGCTCTGATTCTCTTTTCTTACCTTTGTTTACAGGATCTGGACGACATGAACATTGAGATCATGCGGAACACCCTTTACAAGGCGTACCTTGAGGACTTCTACAAGTTCTGCAAGGTGTGTAGAACGAATGTGCATAATGCTGCAAGGCACACGCAGACTGTTGGCTGATTTGCACTTTGCCCCTAAGTCATTGCTGAGACGGTGTTCTGGATGCAGTGGTGCTATTTATGTTCATTTTTCTTGGACCGTTGCCTTTGCCTTGCATTTGATTCTTTTCCTTTCACCAGCGTGTGGGGGGGGCAACTGCAGAGATCATGTGTGACCTTCTTGCCTTCGAGGCAGACAGACGTGCTGTCAGCATCACCATCAACAGGTGGGACTGCAAGCACAAACATGACCACTATGTAGTAGGTTGTGGTTTGTTGCCATTTGACTGCATTTTTGCTGGAGCAAGCTCAAATCCATGAAGTTTCCCCTTGTGTCATTGAGCAGTATTGGCACTGAGCTCACTCGAGATGACCGAAGAAAGCTCTACTCCAACTTTGGCCTCCTGTAAGACTTCAAGTCAAAGCAATGCTTTTTTTCTTCGCCCAAAGCTATTCCTCTCGCTTTCATTCTTGAACCTGTACATATCATATTCCCCTCCATGGACATCTTAAAATTTGCATTGATGATTGGATTTTTTGCTGCATGTCCCCCATTCTTGTTCCCATCGCTGCCTTCCGTGCATCCAGTTACCCGTATGGTCATGAAGAGCTTGCTATCTGCGAAGATTTTGATCAGGTATGCAAAATGCTGCTCCTTGGTACTGATTGTTCTGTGTGGCATTGAGTGCAGAACTTATGCAATTTTGCTTGCCCACCTTCCCTACCTTCTACTCACTGACGACTGTAACCCTTCGTCCTCGGCCTCCTACTCCCTTACCCCGTGAGCAGGTGCGGGCAGCCATGGAGAAGTACCCTCCGTATGCGGCCATCTTTGCCAAGCTGTCATTTGGGGAGAGCCAGATGCTGGACAAGGCGTTCTACGAGGAGGAGGTCAAGCGCCTCACACTCTCGTTTGACCAGCAGGTGTGTGCCCCCAGGCGCTGCAGGCTCGCGTGCCACTTCCACCTCTTTTATATGCGATGTGTGCGTAACTTGTGCTTGAGATTGGTGCTTTTTTTCTTGCCTTTCTCACTTCCGCTATTGTTTCGTCTCCCTCCCCCCTCCCCCCTCCTCGCCCTCCTTTCCTTTCTTGCAACTCCCTCCAGTTCCACTATGGTGTGTTCTTCGCCTATGCCCGGTTGAGGGAGCAAGAGATTCGCAACCTGATGTGGATATCGGAGTGTGTGGCTCAGAATCAGAAGTCTCGCATTCACGACGGCATTGTCTTCATATTCTGATCCCTGTCGTGCCGGTATCTGTACTCCAGCTACATGGCCCCATATTCAGTGACACGGCATCATTTGCAGCACTTGGAGAGCAGTAGTCCTTTATTGACAAAAGTAGGCAGGCACTGAGATAATGATACTAGCTTGTGACTTCAGTGTTGGAATGTACGTATATAAATCTTGCTAGAAAGGCTTAGTGCCGGCGTAGGGGAAACGCGTTTGTAGAAAGAACAAGATAGAAAATCTTGCATTGATCATTGAAAAGTAGAATGATGACACAATAACGACTCAATGATGATGAAGTGACAGAGCATGGTATATATGCATTCGGCTACCCCTCCTAGGGTGATCCATTCACACCAATAATGGTCTACCAATAATTGTACCATCTACCCTCCAATATGGTGGGCTCCAATAATTGTGGCCCTATAATGATTATGACAATTATTGTAGGACCTGGAGGCTTATAATGAAGACTACACTAAAACCAAACAGCACACTGGTATACACTATTCGTTATACTGTATTCAGATTTCCAACAAATCTCATACGATACCCCCTCCCATGTGCTGTCCTGTGCTGCGCTTCCCAAGTTACTCAAGCGGGTTCTTTCTGGCCTCTATGCAACAGGACAAGATACACATATAGTTCAATCAACAACTGGAAAACAGTTTTATATTCCACAATTTAATGCCACTGCTCTTTGGATTGGGCGCATGAAGTATGTGTCAGAAACTAATGAGTAGGAATGCGTGCATTAATATGAATATTTTAAAAAGCTGTAGCGCTTTTCGAAATTTTGTATTTTAAAAAGCGATGCTGTTTGTAATGTAGGAGTGAAAAGAGTCGAATCGTGGGTTGGATGTCATTTCCCTCCACCTACGTCTCTCATTTTCAAACGGTTTAGCACATTTTCCCGCCCACCCACCTCTTGGAAAAGCGACAACTGTAGTAAGAGCGTATTCCTACAGCCTCCTATCAAGGCCACCTCCTATCAAGATAGTACTTTTGCCTGGGAAAAGTAACGAGAGGTTTCGGGTTTAGGGAATTTTTCAGTGTGAGCTTGATAGGAGGTCAGATTGATAGGAGGATAGGAATACGCCCTAAGATGTCAGCATTGTAGTATGTTAGAACTGCTTGGTGTTACGAATAGTGGTTAATGAAAAACACTGTTGCGCACTCCTCACCGTAGCAAAGTCGAAGCACGCACTATCGAGAGTGAAGACGAAAAGGCAGAAGAAAGGCGAAGGGACAGACGGTTACGAGGAGCATCTGAACCGTCGGGCAGACAGCATCAGGCAGCAGCAGTGGCGAGGATTCTGCCCAAACAGTTACGTAACCACTCGGAGTCGCACGGTTGGATTTCGCTGCAATAAGGGAATGTACCCCTTAGAGTAAATGGCTAGTTAGGTCGTTTCGAATTCCCCAGTACTCATATTTATATTCCTTGTACTGCACGTGTTTATTATCTCAAGCATTTACATTCACTCTGCTATTGAGGTCAAGGGCCCACCAACATCACTTCTCTGCGTGCGAACCTTACTGAGTAGATCCTAGGCCACGATCAACTTCTGATCATAACATGTTATGAGAGCGACTCAGGAATCCTTCGCACCGCCATCTCCGAAATCTGCGACATTCGGAAAGTGGCGTCCGGCACACGATCACGTGTAAGAATGGCCGGAGGATCTGGAGGTCAGACGAATCTGACGGCTGAAGCGCAGCCCAACCCGGCTGCGACAAACGAGGAAACGACGACGATTCCTTCCGCCGTCCTCGCACAACTGCTTCAGCGACTCACGAGCATGGAGCAAGGGCTCCAGACATTGCGGAATGGCGATGCGGGAACCTCTTCCCAACCCACTCAACCGGCCTCAAACGACCAGAATTCCGCCCCGCAAGGCTTCTCTCTCGATACGAATGGCTCAACCCCCAAGACTTACTGTCCCAGCGATGAAGGAATTCTCTCAGCGCAATCAAGGTTTTTGAGCATATCAAAAATAAAGACAAGTGCGTGCTTTGACGGCAGAGACTTCTATACCTGGAGCTTTGAGCTGGAGCTGCTACTGCAAAACGCGCAGATTTATCATTATTTCGACGGAAGCTACTCGGGGCCTACGGAAGATACTGATGACGCAAAAACCAAGTACTACAACGAGTCCCTGATGGCGTATGGGGTTCTTCTGCGGAACATGTCGCCGACGGAGCAATTGAGCATTCGCTCATACAAGACCTCCCCTGCTCCAGCTTGTCAGAATATTATAGCTTATGCTTTTGTGTAGGCTGTAGTGGCGTAGCCTATATGGGGTAAAACCCAATTAGGGTTAGTACTTGTGTCAGAATAATATATAACTCTATATATTGTTTTGTAACTGCCTATAGTGTAGAATACTGTAGTCATATAACTTTCTGTTTGGTGGTGCACCTTTCTTCATTCTTGCCTATTTGTACTTCTCGCTCTATAGTGAACCTCCTCTTTTTGGCTTGCACTTTTCTCTCGTCACTCTCGCCTACGTCAAACCCTAGGCCTCAACTACTATTCTTGATATGGTACAGAGCACGTCACATCCTGGCCTGCCTTATTTTTTAACTACGCCATGGGCCCACCGCGTATTCCTCGTTTCGTGGCTCCCGTCGCGCCCTTAGTTGCGACTGACGTGATGGGCGCGACGGCGAGCTGCCTACTATCGTGGCGACGAGTTGGGCGGCTCGTTCTGCCCTGTTGCTCCGTCGCCCTGTCACCCGCCCCGCGCTACCCGCCTTGTCCCGAGCTGCCCCGCCCCTTGTCCCGTTACGAGCTGCCACAGCCACACACATCCGCGCGCAGCTGCGTACGGCCGATTGCAGCTGCGCACAGCCGCGCGCAGCCGCGTATGGCCGCTCCCCTGCCCCGCACCTGCTGCTCGTGCGCCAGTGAAATGCGGGGGGAAGGGTGTGGGGTTGGCGCGTGGGTGACACTGCACCTGCCGTCGCTGTTCACCTTTTCCTCCCTCTCACTGTACCCGTGGGGGGAGGGGGAGTGTGAGAGGGTGGCGAGAGAGATTCTGCAATGCCAGCAGCCGCCCCTCCTCTCTCTCTCACTACCGCTCGTGCTGCTGTGGGGGGGAGGGTGAGAGAGGGTGGCGGAAGACAGCCGGGTATTTGCTGCTGTCGCCCGTTGCTGCCGTAGCACCTCCAGCTGCCGCCCCTGCTACCACCTGCCTTTTCTACCTTTGCTTTTGCTACCTGCTGCTGGGGCCTGCAGGTGCTGCCGTCGAGCCGCTGCTGTCCTGCTGCATGTTGCAGCCACAGAGCCTGCTCCTCAGGCGACCTGCTGCCCCAACACCTGCTACTGTTTCTACCTTGGTCAAGGGGTTGGTACAGTTGGATCTGCCATCACTGCACCGGTTGCCACTGCACTTGCCTGTTGCTGTGATTTCCGCTGCGGCCTATCTGGTGTACCCCATTATGGGGGCGTTGACTGCACATTCTTCCCTACAGGCACTTATGGGGGCGTGTCAGAATAATATATAACTCTATATATTGTTTTGTAACTGCCTATAGTGTAGAATACTGTAGTCATATAACTTTCTGTTTGGTGGTGCACCTTTCTTCATTCTTGCCTATTTGTACTTCTCGCTCTGTAGTGAACCTCCTCTTTTTGGCTTGCACTTTTCTCTCGTCACTCTCGCCTACGTCAAACCCTAGGCCTCAACTACTATTCTTCATAACTTGTACCCAACTCTTTCATAGTGCATTCATTCTCGTTCATTTTCACATGGTTTCAGAGCACATATGCTCCTGGCCTGTGGGCCCTACTACTGCTTCCGCTGCTACTCGATCTGTCGCACGCCCCGTGGCGTGCGTCCTATTGCGCGCGGCGATTTTCTCTCTGGCGCGCGCCCCGAGGCACGCGACCCCGTTCCTTCTAGGCGCGCCACTCCCCGCTACCCCGTCGCGGCGCCAAGAGGAGCCGCGCGCGACCCCTCGCTGCCCCGTCGCGGCCCCATCTCGTCGCGCCGCCCTAGCGGCCGCGTCGCGCCGCCCTCGCGGCCCCGATCCGCCGCCCTAGCGGCCCCGTCACCTACCCCTACGGCCCCGGCGCCGCCCATCCCGGCCCCGGCTCCGCCCTTCCTGGCCCCGGCGCCACCTCGGCTGGCCCCGTCGCCTACCCCGGCGACCCCGACGCCGCCCTTCCCGACCCGGCCCCGCCTCTGCTGGCCCCGTCGCCTATCCCTATGGCCCCGGCGCTGCCCTTCCCGGCCCCGGCGCCACCTCTGCTGGCCCCGACGCCGCCCTTACCGGCCCCGGCGCCGCCTCTACTGGCCCCGTCGCCTACCTCTACGGCCCCGGCGCCGCCCTTCCCAGCCCCGACGCCGCCTCTGCTGGCCCCGTCACCTACCATGCGGCCCCGGCGCCACCTCTGCTGGCCCCGTCGCCGCTCCACCCGGCCCCGCCGCCGTCCCCAAGCGGCCCCGCCGTCACCACCGAGCCGCCGGCGCCGCCGAGCTGCTACCGAGCCGCCCGAGCCACCCGAGCCGCCCGAGCCGCAGCGCCACCTGAGCCGCCCAAGCCGCCGGGTCGCCGAGCCGCCGAGCTGCAGTTGCTGCCGGGCGCCGTACCGCCGAGCCGCCTGAGCCGCCCGAGCCGCCGAGTCGCTGAGCCGCAGTTGCCGCCGAGCCGCCCGAGTCGCCCGAGCCGCCGAGCCGCAGTTGCTGCCGAGCCGCCGTGCCGCCGAGCCGCCCGAGCCGCCCGCACCGCCGAGTCGCCGAGTCGCCGAGCCTGCTCTTCCCACCACTGGTGAGCCCCTGCCCTGCTAGCGCGCTGCCCGCCGCCTGCTTGCCTGCCTGCCTGCCTTTCGGCCTGCCCTACTGCCTGCCTTACAGCTGCTACTCTTGCTCCTACTTCTACTGGCGGAGCCAGATGCAGCCCCAGCGACGTCCGCGTGAGTCCCTCACGCCCCAGCAGCTGCGTGAGTGGTACGCTGGTTGGGGTTGTAGGGGTGGCCGCGCTGCTACTGCTACCACTACTGC